TGAAGATCATCGGCGATGGTCAACATGCTACCAACGAGAACTTGGGAAGGATCGAACTCATGGTCCAGGACTTGGCCGGGCAACTAACGCGCATGAACACGCAGCCAAGGAAAAGGCACGGGTCACGGTCCACGGCAGTGAGCACCGGGACCGAGCGCGAGGATGATCGCCGATCGCGGGGCTCGCACGCATCACACGCGAGTCACCAACGCGACGACCGGCGACGGCATGGTGAACGCGCACATCACGACCGTAGGCGCGCGGACGAGGACGACCGGCAGTCGTACGCATCGTACGCATCGCGGGCTTCACACGATGAGCGTCGGGCACGACGCGATGACCGAGAGCGCTACCACGAGGGCCGACGATGCCACGAACGACGGGACGAGGGACGTGCCCGATACCACGAACGCGATGATCCACGGGACGATGGGGCGGGCACACGGCAAAAAATTGTGATGCCCACGTTCACGGGGACAGATCCGGACGCATGGTTGAGTCGGGCTGTGCAATTTTTTGAGATCAATGATATGCCAAGGTACGAACGAGTTCAAATTGCTGCCTATCACCTTGATGGGGAAGCAAACGTTTGGTGGCAGTGGATGATGCACAAAAACCATGGCGAGTACATAAGATGGAGGGATTTCGAAAAGGAGCTCATCACGAGGTTTGGCTCGAGTGACTACCACGATTACAACGAGGCTTTGTCGAAAATTAAGCAAGTGGGCAGTCTGAGGGATTATCAGAAGGAATTTGAGCGCATTGCTAGTAGAGTACGGGACTGGCCCGAGGCTGCGCTGGTAGGAACGTTTGTTGGTGGATTAAAGGCTGAGCTGGCAGCCGAGGTGACATTGGACAGGCCAGGATCGATGCGAGCGGCTATAGAGTCGGCCAGACTGCACGAAGATCATCTCGTGGCAGTAGCAAGGCGAAACCAAGCGACGTACGCACGGAGACCAAGCGCGCACACGTCGCGACCGAGGAACAGCCAGCGCGAACCGAAAGCAAGCCGTTGAGCGAAGCTGTTAGAACAACGAGCAACGTACGACGGCTTACCGACGAGGAGATGCAACGACGGCGAGAGAAAGGCCTTTGCTATTCGTGCAACAAAAAAATTACGCCAGGCCACAGGTGCAAGGGTAAGGAGGTCTTTTTGTTGGAATTTGAGGGAGAAGAAGAACCAAGAGATGAATCCTTATTACACATGGTTAAGAGTAAGAAGCGTGGTCCGAAGATGATCACATTCACGGCTGAAGTGGGAGGAAAATTGGTGGAGGTGTTGGTCGACAGCGGATCTACGCTAAACTTCATTGATGAGGAGTGGTCCAAGAAAATCGAGATTCCATTCACCAAAGTGAAACCCTTTGGAGTCAAGGTTGCAAACGGGGAAACACTACGAGGAGATATTCTATTCAAAGGTGTAAAGTTGAAGGCTCAAGGCCAAAGGATGAGAGTGGACCTCTATGCATTGCCATTAAAGGAAACTGATATAGTGCTTGGATGCCAGTGGTTGGAGACCCTTGGTCCAATCACAACTGATTATTGGAAGGGAACTATGGAGTTCGGGAGATCAAGCAAGAGGATTAAGTTAAGGACTGAGGATCCAGGCGAGTCACCGGATGAAGAAGATAGGGATGGTCGAGATGGGAAGCTGAATTTTCTAATCCTTGGGGACAAGGAAAGTCTTGAAGAGGAGGGGAATGATACGGAAGTGGCTTTGGAGTCCGGCAAGTCTAGTAAGGAGCGAAAAGGCAAAAGGTGCGCATCGGCACTTGATGCGCACGAGTGGGCGAACAGGCCGCGCACGCGGGTTTGGCGGGGAGAACGCGGGCGCAAGATGGACGGGTGCGCGGGCGTACGCGGGAACGCCGTAGGCGGTCTGGGCTGGGATGGTAACGGGGACGTGCGGGGTTCATGCGGAGAAGGGATCAGGCGCCAAGGGCGCGCATGCACGGGCGCGGGCGCGCGACACAACCCGCGCAAAAAGATCGGCAGGTGCGGGGCGTGCGCGGAAGCACGCGAGTAGGATGACGCGGATGGTGCCCTAGACATGGGAGGATTAGGCGACGCTAGGGCGCTGGGCACACACGCGCATGGTGGAGTCGGCGGACGGCGCGCGCGCGCAAAGGACGCCGCGTGGGGGGTAAGTGCGCGCGCGCAAAGGACGCCGCGTGGGGGGTAAGCGCGCGGGTTACCGCGCGAAACGAGGAGTAGGAATGGCGAGGCGGCGCGCGCAGGTGGCACGCGCGCGACGCGTAGGCCGAAGGAGTTTGGGCGTGAGGAAGTTTTAGAATGTGTATAATTAGGGAGCTTCTAGAATTTCTTGGTGTGCAAGCCAAGCATTAGTATTTTGGTAGCTTTAGGATTTTATTGCTTTCTAGACTTAGGATTTCTATTCTTGCATGATTTAGGAGATCTATTAGATTTAGGCTTAGGCTTATTTTACAACTATAAATACCCCATGTACCTCATCATATTTTACATGTTGAATGAAGTATTGAAATAGTGAGCCAATTTTGAGGGGGAACTCATGTTCTTAACGTGTGATAAAGAAGGCCATTAGAGCGTCTTTACATGCAGTGTCGGAGAGAAGGCCAATAGTGCGTCTTGAAGTCACGGTATCTAGGAGAAGGCCGTAGTGCGTCTGTTAGATACATCTATCGGGGATAAACGAAGGCCTCAGTGCGTCGTTTATTCGCAACCCAGTATAGACAAAAGATCGATCCGTCATCAGCTGTCTGCGCGCGCTGCTGCGCGCGGACGTGCGCGTGCTGTCTGCCTGCGCGCGCTGCTGGGCTGTGATGCGGAAGTGGGTTCCGAGCCCCGACGACAAGAATATCCTAGAGGAGAGACAAACCGAGGAGGCTGAAAATAGGGCCAAAACGACGCATGCATGGCCTAAGAGGCGGGTGCGAGATCGTATGCGAGGCACTCGAGCACATGAGAAGTGGCACGTACAAGGCGGTAGACAAAGGCGTGCACACGCCTTTTGGCGTAGACGCGCATGGCGATTGGAGAAGAGGCGGAGTGGCGCACAGGGGGAGGCTGTTGGGTGGATGGCGCGCGAGAAGGATTGCTATGGATGGGCAAGCACGAGCGAAGAACGCGCATCGTGCCATGATGCGCGCGAGTGGTCGGGTGATTGTGCGAAAGATGCACGGGCGATTGGTGCATGGGACGCGGGCTATGCGAGGGGTACGCAGGCGCACGGGCAGCAGGTGTGCGGGCGATGGGCGAGACGCGTGGCACCACGCGGGCGAAGGAAATGGCAGCAGCAGGGCGCGC